GGGGTTACACCAAGGTTTTGTGCTCTGTACGTTCTTATTTGACCTAGTGATGGACGCACTAACATACCCATATTCAAGGGGAGGTGACATGGTGTATGTTATTCGCTGACGACATTGTTCTGATAGATGAGTCGCGAACCGGTACTACTAAGAGGCTGGAAGTTTGGAGATAAACCCTTGAGTCTAAGAGTTTCAAGCTGATCATGACTAAGATGGAATACTTGGAATACAAGTTCACCGCTGCGCCGAGGGTAGTGGTGCATGGATGTGAGGCTTGAATCAAAGGTCATCTCGACTAGAGGCAGTTTCAAGTACCTTGGGTCGGTTATCCATGGGGAAGAAGAGATCGACGAGGATGTCACACACCGTATTGGGGGTGGGGTAGATGAAGTGAAGTTTAGCATCTGGAGTCCTGTGTGACAAAGGAGTGCCTTTGATACTCAAAGGTAAGTTTCATAAAGCGGTAGTTAGACCGGTCATGATGTATTACCTGTTAAGAACTCATATATTTAGAAGAAAAAAGTAGTAGAAATGAGAATGTTGATGTATATATACGGACACACTAGGATGGATAGGATTAGGAATGGTGATATTCGGGAGAAGGTAGGTGTAGCTCCCATTGATGACAAGATACGGGAAGCGAGGCTCACATAGTTCGGGCACGTATAGGGGAGAAGCCCAGATGCTCCGGTAAAGAGGTGGGAACGATTGGCTTTGGAGGGCACGAGAAGAAGTAGAGGGTGGCCTAAGAAATATTGAGGAGAGGTGATCAGACGGGACATGGTGAGGCTTCAGATTTCCGAGGACATGACCCTTGATAGGAAGCTGTAGAGGTCGAGTATTAGGGTTATAGGCTAGGAGGTAGTTGAGTCTTTCTTACTTCGTACCTTTCCGAGGCTAGTTTGATAGGATTTTTATCTGAGACTGCTAGTGGTTAATATTGTGTCTTACTACTCTTTCATTTTTCATAGTGTCGGGTCTATTTAATGGCTATCTCTTTTGCTTTGCATCTATTTTTTGGTTTTCATGATGATGTTATTTTTCCTATGGTATCTGTTGGTGGTATTTATATTGTCTTTTTTTGTCTTTTTGAACCGATGGTCTTTTGAAAATAATCTCTCTACATCATCGGGGTAAGGGTATGTCACACCCCGAACCATGGTCTGGGCGTAACACGATACTCGGTGCCTAACTGCATGTGACTGAGTGAACCAACTGCATGGATTGATCAACACGTGGTATAACTATAAGATAGAGGTAAATATAAAACATGGTAATCTACTAAGGAGTCTGACTGAAATACCATAGATGCGAAAAATACTGAAAGGTCTGCCAGTATAAACAAGTAGCCGACAAGGCTAACACAAGAAAGCCTGCTAATATCTGACTGACTGGGTTGTATTCTACGAAGCCTCTAAAGATATACTGAAAATACTAATTGTTTACCGAGACAAGGTCCCCGGTATACCTTATTAACTGAAATACTATAATGACAAAAACAAAAGAGAGATAAGGCCCCGGAAGACTGGGGCTCACCAATAGCTGATAAGATGTCCTAGCAAGCAGAATCGTCAACCTGAAAATCGTTACCTGCATCGCGAGATACATGCCCCGGGCAAAAGGGACGTCGGTACATTTGAATTGTACTGGTATGTAAAATAGCTGAACAAAAGAACTCTAAATACTGAAACTGAACTGCTGGATGATAAACTGATAACTGAACAAGGAAGTAAGGATGTGAATACTTCCTCTTCTGAATGATGAACAACATGTTTAACTGAATATTAAACTGCGGCCTCAGACCCAATATGTATATATATATATATATATATATATATATGTTCACAACTGCGGTCTCGGGCCCATGTATACGTATACATAACTGCGACCTCAGGTCCAAAATGCATAAAGCATAAACTGCGGTCTCAGGCCCAAATACAGGTGTTCAACATTCAAGAATATAAAATCAGGAACTGAGAATCATATTACAATACATGATACTGAAATAATGAGCCATACCAAGTTACATGATACTGGATTAGTGATAGGATTAGACTGAGATGAGTATTCATAATAAGTTGATTTATCATAACTGAAACTCATAGAATATCGAATGATTATGAGACTATGCCATCTAGAGAATAGAAATTCTACTACTATTCAGGGAGCTGAGGCATAGTTATTTTCTGAGGAATCTGGTAATGGTCATAATGAATGGGACGTAAGGAGAATCATGGACATTCCCAAACGTAAAGAGTTAGCCTTACATACCTTAACTTCCTGCCTTTGAGCGTAATACAATGTTTGTCAACCCTTTCAACTTTAATCTATAGCAATACAAGTCAAAGGGATTCCATATTAGCTATGATGTTTATGTTTTGGTCACTTACGCATTTTATCAAACACTTGGTCAAAATAAAGCTTCATAGTCCTTATTAATGGTGTCTCTACACCCAACAACCCATTCTCTTGTTCCTAGATAAATTTTAAAGTCTCAAATGATTATATCAACATTATTCTTCATCACCTATAATGTAAACAACACTCTTATCCAATAATCAACACTCAACACCCCAATCCTATAATCGTTCATACTTTTCTATCAAACCCACCAACTTATATCTCATGAACTAGGGTTTATAATCATTAAACAAATGCTAGAATCAATTAGAGGGTGAAGACATTACCTTTTTGAAGTTCAAACCCTTTGAATTCGAGTTCTAGGCTTCCTTCTCTCAACAATAATGTCTCAATTGAATATCAAATGATATGGAGGGTTTATCCATGTTAATAAGATGTTGGAAAATTGAAATTAACTTAGAATCACCATTAGAACTTACCTTGGGTGGTGGAAGGACCCTTAAGGAGTTAGGTTTTTGAGAGTTCCTCTTTTTAGAGCAAGTTTTTATGTTTTGGGGCTGTGGGGGACAAAATATAGCTTTAAAACGACCCCCCACTAGAGCTCCCGTGCATCTGGAGGCCTGCCCGCGCTACTGACCGCTCTAAACGGCAGTAACACTTCCTCAAAATTAGCGCGTCCCCGCTAAGGGCGTGCTACCGGCGCACATATCGTATACTGTTCTGTAAAATGCGCATAACCTTTTGCACAGAGATCTGTTCGGGTTCTATAATATATAGTTGGGAAGCTATTTCAAAGACCTACAACTTTCATGCTTTGAGTTTTCCCAAATTCCTTACTTATTTTCACTAAAATCTGCTGGAATACGAACCTTCTGCAAACTTAGTCAATTTTGTCAAATCTTATGCACCTCACTTTCCATCTTGATTTTGAAATAACTATTTTCACCCATAATCATCCCGGTGGGACTTTACATGTTCAAGGTATAAGCTTACCAGTCATTTAACACATTCACACCTAAGCCGAATTTACGGGGTGTTACATTATCTCCCCCTTGGAATCATTCGTCCTCGAATGATGGTCCTGGCTGCAACTACGGCTATCTATGGACATTAAACAGGTGTGATGGGGATATGAGGATACTGAAATATCATGAATACATGTATATCAAACTGAACGAGCACGTGAGCACTAAATACTAAGCTGAGTGAATACTAAAAGACATGGAGATTATAATAGAAGGCCTGAATGAAAAGGTTAATTACCTTCTATATTTTCCTTTTGCTCTTTAAAGAGATGGGGATATCTTGACTTCATGTCCTCCTCGGCTTCCCATGTAGCCTCTTCAACCTTTTGGCTCCTCCAAAGCACTTTTACTAAAGCAATTTCCTTAGTTCTGAGCTTGTGGATTTGTCGATCAAGAATAGCCACTAGAATTTCCTCATAAGACAGACTGTTTTTAACCCCTATAATCTTCGTAGGAACCATAAGTGACGGGTCTCCCATGAATTTCTTCAACATGGACACATGAAACACTGGTGTACAGTAGTTAGTTCTTGTGGCAATTCTAACTCATAAGCCACCTGTCCGATCCTTTGAAAAATTCTATATGGACCAATATAGCGGGGACTAAGCTTCCCCTTCTTCCCATAACGCCTTTCATGGGCGATACTTTCAGAAACACCCAATCATCAACTTGAAACTCTAAGTCTCTACGCCGTACGTCCGAATAGGACTTTTGGCGACTTTGAGCCGTCTTCAAATGCCTTTGTATCAAGTTGACTTTCTCCATAGCCTGATAGACCAAATCGGGTCCTAACAACTCCGCTTCTCCGACTTCGAACCAACCAATTGGTGATCTACACCTTCGACCATACAGAGCTTTGTACGGTGCCATCTTGATACTAGAGTGATAGCTGTTATTGTAAGCAAACTCAATGAGAGGTAGATGATCGTCCCAATTACCTTTAAAATCAATAATACATGCCCTCAACATATCCTCCAGAGTTTGAATGGTGTGTTCTGCCTGTCCATCTGTTTGAGGATGAAAAGCGGTGCTGAGGTTCACCCTTGTGCCCAATCCCTTCTGAAAGGATTTCCAAAAGTTTGCTGTGAACTGAGCACCATGATCTGAGATAATGGACAAAGGAGTCCCATGCAATCAGACAATTTTCTTTAATATACAACTTGGCATAATCCTCGGTCGAATATGTATTCTTCACTGGCAAGAAGTGAGCTGAATTGGTAAGTAGGTCTACAATCACCCAAATCGAATCGCGCTTCCGTAACGAGCGAGGTAGACCTGTTATGAAGTCCATGTTTATCATCTCCCATTTCTAAATGGGAATTTCTATATTCTGAGTTAAATCGCCAGGCCTCTGGTGTTCGACTTTCACCTGTTGGCAATTTGGACACCTAGCCACGAAATCTGCTATACTCTTTTTCATATCATTCCACCAATAAACCTCATTAAAATCGTGATACATCTTAGAGGAACCTGGGTGAATAGAATACCTGGAATTTTGGGCTTCTGACATAATCCGCTCTCTGAGCCCATCTACGTTTGGAACGTATAGTATCTCAAAGTACCATCATCTCCCCGTTGTTCAAAAGCCATAGTCTTGTGTTTGTGAATTCCTTCCTAAAGCTGCAATAAGTAGGGAACACTGAACTGTTTTTCTTTTACTTCGGCTACTAAGGAGGATTCAGCCCTGTTCTGGAGAACAACGCCACCATCTTCGGAGTCCAAAAGTCGAACACCTAGATTTTCTAAGCGGTGGACTTCCTTCATCATAGTTTGCTTGTCTGCCTCAACATGAGCTAAGCTGCCCATAGAACGCCGACTGAGAGCATCGGCTACAACATTTGCTTTCCCCGAATGATAGATGATATAACATCATAATCTTTAAGTAATTCGAGCCACCTTCTCTGACGTAGATTTAATTCTCTTTGCTTGAAGATGTACTGGAGACTCTTGTGATCTGTAAAAATGTCAACATGTACCCCATACAGATAATGGCGCCAGTCTTAAGCGCGAACACCACAGCTGCTAATTCAAGGTCATGAATCGGATAATTCTTCTCGTGAGCCTTGAGCTGTCTCGACGCGTAGGCTATGACTTTACCGTGCTGCATTAATACACACCCAAGACCAACCCCTGAGGCATCATAATAAACAACGAACCCTTCGGTTCCTTCTGGTAGTGTCAGGACTGGAGCTGAAGTCAGCCTTTTCTTTAACTCCTCAAAACTTTTCTTGCACGCGTCTGACCATTGAAACTTGACTTTCTTCTGAGTTAATCTAGTTAAAGGGGACGATATAGAAGAAAATCCCTATACGAAACGCCTATAATAGCCCGCTAGACCCAAGAAACTTCTTATATTGGATACTGAGGTGGGTCAAGGCCAATTCTTCATTGCCTCTATTTTCTGAGAGTCCACCTTCACGCCTTCCCCTGAGATGACATGGCCCAAAAACGCTACTGATTTCAACCAGAATTCACACTTAGAAAATTTTGCATATAGCTTGTGATCCTGCAGTATCTGCAACACAATTATAAGATGTTCTACATGGTCAGTCTCGCTACGGGAATAAATCAAGATGTCATCAATAAACACAATAACAAACAAATCAAGATAAGGCTTGAAGACCCTTTTCATAAGGTCCATGAAAGCTGCTGGTGCATTAGTTAAACCAAATGACATTACCAGGAATTCGAAAGGCCCATATCGAGTCCTAAAAGCTGTTTTTGGAATATCAACTTCCTTAACCTTCAACTGATGGTATCCCGATCTGAGGTTAATCTTGGAATAACACTGGGCACCCTGAAGTTGATCAAATAAATCATCTATTCCGGGAAGAGGGTACTTGTTATTGATGGTGACTTTATTCAACCGGCGATAGTCAATGCACATACGCAAAGTCACATCCTTCTTTCGGACAAACAAGACCAGTGCGCCCCAAGGTGAGACACTTGGCCTTATAAATCCCTTATCTAGAAGATCTTTCAACTGGACTTTTAACTCTTTTAACTCTGCTGGAGCCATTCTATAAGGCGGAATAGATATCGGCTTAGTGCATGGAAGTAGATCAATTCCAAAGTCAATCTCCATATGGGGAGGGACTCCAGGGAGATCTTCGGGAAACACTTCTGGAAACTCATTTACAATTGGTACCGACTGGAGAGTGGGGATCTGAGCGTCTGCATCCTTAACTCGAACTAGGTGATAGATATATCCCTTGGAGATCATCTTTCTAGCTTTAAGATAGGAAATAAACCTACCCTTAGGTGCTACTACATCACCCTTCCATTCTAAGACTGGTTTACCGGGAAATTCAAAACTTACTATTTTGGTTCTACAACCCACTTTGGCATAACATGACTCTAACCAATCCATGCACATGATCACATCAAAGTCTAATATCTCCAATTCTACTAAGTCTGCTACAGTAAGACGATGATGCACTTTGACTGGACATCCCCTATAGATATACCTTGCTATAACTGATTCTCCAACTGGAGTGGATACTTCAAAGGGTTCACCCAACTTTTCTGGTTCTATCCCAAATTTCTTTGCAATATATGGGGTTATATAAGATAGGGTGGATCCCGGATCTATAAGAGCATAGACATCAAAACTGAATATATTTAGCATACCTATGACAACATCTCCATGAGCCTCTGTATCCTGACGGTCTGCCAGTGCATACAAGCAGTTTCGACCACCGCCTGCAGTATTAAACTTTACTGCACCGTGCCCTTGTTGGGCATGAGAGTTATTATGGGCTACTGAATTAGTGGACTAAGCTACATTTCCTCCATTGTTCTGCTTTGCCGATGGACAATCCCTCAAAAAGTGGCCTTGCTGACCGCACCCAAAGCAACCATTTGTGCCCAAATGACACAACCCTGGGTGCCTCTTACCACACGTGTTGCAAATAGGGTAACTAGGGACTCTGTAACCCACACTAGCCTGTGACTGTGAGTCTGCTGTTCTGAAATTCTGGTTTTTCTTGTTAAACTTTGACCTCTGAACCGGTGCACTAGCTGAAGATGGAGCAGGTCCTAATTTTGATTTCTTGAAAAACTAGCGATTGCCTCCTACTTGAGATCCCCCATGGTTGAAATTTCCTGCAGACTTAGCTCTCTTGTTGAATTCCCTCTCCTTCTCTCTCCGTAGACGTTCTTCTTCCTTCAACCTGTCTTCGTTCCCTTGAACAAAGGCAACCATCATAGTGATGGTCATGTCATTATTCTGAGTAGCTATACTAGCATCATCAAACAAATCATCTGAAAGCCCCAACACAAACCACCTAACTCTAGCCCTCATATCACGTACCATTTCCGGAGCATAATTGGCCAAAGAGACGAACTTGAGGTAGTACTCATTCACACTCATATCATTCTGTCTGAGTCTCTCAAACTCCAAAGCTTTAGCTTCCAAGACCTCAATGGGTATAAAGTGCTCAAAGAACGCATCTGCAAACTCCTTCCAAGTCGCAGGATCCGCATCCTCACCTCGGGACTCTTCCCATGTTTCATACCAAGTGTTGGCAACATCCTTCAGCTGGTACACAACAAGCTTTGTGTTGATACCCAATTTTTCCCTAAGTATTTTTTTACACTCAAAATACTTTCAAAATAACATATATGTGCATACATAAGCATGCCCAAGTGTTTTGCTATTTTTCCCAAATTTCTAAAGACTTTCAAAACCAATTTATTGTCTATTTTAGTAGTGCAAAATTCAATAATTATTCCCAAAATTATCATTTTGGTGAATAATTTATTTATTTCTCATATTTACACCAAAATATAATTAAGGTGAT